ATAATTATCTCCATTAGCTTAAGATGCTAATGAAACCGGAGAGACGGAGAAAACTACGGTACGTTACTGAATTAAGTCAGAGTGCCATCTGGGTGCCACGGAGAGGCTGTTGACATTGCTGACCAGCACTGAATATGCTCACTTCTTGATCTCAGATCCGGAATAATGCACAATTAGCGCCACAAACTAAACCATGTCATGTAACATAATAATCTACTCACCAACCACAGGCACTAAAACCGAGATTTAAAATGCTCAGTCGTAAGAAAATGGTTTTTGTTGTAATGTGAATCGTTAAACCCCCGTGTGAGACATCCAGTACAAAGACTGAGGAAGATCACTTGTCCGTAAATAAATCAACCTAACTCTTTCCACTTAACGCTATGAACATTTGCATGGCATATGCACAGGAAAGCGTGTACCTCTTAGTCTGTATACACGGAGACCTCACAGTAATCTTTATACTGATTAAAGCACATTATTCCTAATTGTTGAAGTAGAGATGAATTGCAGTTTCAGGGAGTTACCTGCATACGATCGGCATCACACATTAGCAAACTAAGTAATTATAAGCAAAATTCAAAAGTTGGTAGTAAAGGGGTGGAAGGGTAAGCCAGTGGAAGGCCTCGGTCAAGTGACTAAAAGCTCCAGCTGTGGATCATTTTATGGCTAAGACTCGCGTCAGGAAACACTTGTCCTGTTTCCTGACGAATCTTACCTAACCTAGTCTCCGGGTCGGCGATAAGTGGCTTCAGGTAGGGGATGTATGTACCCTCTGCCCCTTCCTCCCCCCCCCCCCCCGCCATCCCCGTCCATGGTATTTAGGACGACCAGTTTTTTACCTACTGAGGGAAAACTTAACTTTTTTGCAATGTCTGAAAGCTGCCTAAAAGTCATCCTGTGAATTCCTGCGAAGGTGGGGAGGGAGGAGAAAAAAAAAAAAACAGTAGACGAGGAGAGAGTGGAGACAAGGAGATTGCGTGTAGGTGAGAATAAGGTTTATCATTAATCATTAGAATGGTGTTTGAGTTAAGAGAGACCTGTTCACTCAGACAGTGAGAACCTCCTAGCTAGAAACAGAGTTGAACTTGTGTTCCTTTATAGATAATGGATTCAAGGCACGTTCAGTTCCTCCTTACAAAAAACCCACACATATAAAAACTTGCAGCATACTTATAAATTCCAAATGAAATCAACATTTCAAAATAAAATTTCAAAATAAAAGATGGCTTAAAATTTCAGTTTCGGTTCTGAGATCCCTCTTTCATTTGATCAAAGGTAAATGAAGGGAAGAGATCATTTATCAAGTAATATGACCTATAGATGAGCCTGGAACTACTGGCTTCACTGCCAGTGATGTGACACCGTCAGATTTCCATTGTCCATGTAAATTGATATTCAGGACACCTGCAGTGACAGCTGTTTCTCCAGGTGTCTGTTGCAGTATGGATGCGTGTTCCCAGTCTGTGTTGTGGTTGAGATTATTTACATGTGCGAATATGTGGATTATGAAACAAATTGCAGAACGGCCTTTCATTGGAACAACGTTTCGCTCTGTGAATGTTTATATCAAGTCATACTTGATAAGGATCTAAAAAAAGTGAAATATTTTCCAAATACGAACTTGTTCTGCAGACTGGCTTTATTTTCCAGTGTGTGAAGGTGATAGAGATTTCTTGTGCATACCTTATGATGTGTCAACAGCATTATTGTGTAGTATATTTATATATTTTTCCTAGCAACATTAAAGGCAGGGCTTCCCCTGGCCAAGCCTGATGTCACGTGACAGCCGTGTGTACCTCACGCATAGATTGAGAGGCCTCCCTCTCAGTTTCGACTCAGTACTCAGCAGACGTAGAGGCTGGGCTCCTCTGCACATACCAATAATAGGCCTCTATAACAGTCGACAGTTGTTGACTGTTATGGAACCTTACTAACAGATGGGTAGCTAGTGTTCCATAACTTATGAGTGCGTGATAGTCAGTTATTTTGCACTGCCTACGGTGAGAACCAATAGCCTAAGCGAAGAACAAACTGTAACAATACCGCGACAGCCTAGTTGATCAAGCTGTAGGACCAAGCCGTCTTCGGTAGAGTACCTGGGTGTCGTGGAGCCGACAGGCTGACGCGATGCAAATTAAAGAAAATGCAACGAATAACAATCTACCATGAACACTGTTATTGTCCGTGCACTTGGGAGCCGTCACCACCGGTTGGTGACTCGTTCCGTGCAGTGGCTGCTGTCTGGCTATTACATACTATAGATTCTGGAGTTGAATGTGAAATATTGTGCTCGAGCCCGTTGTCCATATCTACTCTGCCAGGTCTGGTGTGTTTGTGTGTGTGTGTGATTTTATTGGGACAGCGTTTCGCTATGGTAAGAGCTTCATCAAATCTTGAAATAGCTCTAAAATGAGCGAAATGTTGTCCCAAGAAAGGCTTCTGGGGCGTGTCTCTCCTTTACTAGTTATAAGATAATGAAACTACCCAGTATTCTTAACTCATTCATTAATTACAGATATAAAAATAGCAGTTAGCACATTATTGATTATATATTATATATATATATATATATATATATATAATATATATATATATATATATATATATATATAATATATATATATTCAGTCTTCAAATACAAAAATACAACTTAACTCATTTGCCGATTATATTAACATCTCATCACCCGAATACTCCCAAAAGTAAATCCTTGCATAAGAAAGCGCAAAAATTAAAACACTATTAGATAAATATGAAATTCACGATTGAGAAACTTGCACATTTCGGCCTCAGTGAGAGACCCTTTTCGTATACATGCCTCTGTTTCGCACAGTCCACGTGATTTCCACTTCGCATCGGTCAGCTTATTAAGAGGCTTTAATTCAAGTCTCCTTAGAATATAATGAGTTGCTAATGCTTAATAAGGCTTTACAAAGCTTAACAATCAGGTGAAACATTGTCATATACTATAAGCATTTTTATATATAAACATTATCATATATAAACATTGTCATATATAAACATTGCCATGTGTAAACATTGCCGTATATAAACATTGTCATATACGAACAATGTCATATATAAACACTGTCACATAAACATTGTCATATATAAACATTGTCATAAATGAGCAATGTCTTATATAAACACTATCACATAAACATTGGCATATGTAAACATTGCCATGTATATTGTCATACATTAACGTTGTCATATATAACCATTGTCATATATAAACACTGTCATATATAAACATTGTCATATATAAATGTTTTCATATATGAACATCGTCATGTATAAACACTGTCATATATAAACATTGTCATATATAAATGTTTTCATATATGAACATCGTCATATATAAACACTGTCATATATAAACATTGTCATATATTAATGCTGTCATATATAAATATTCTTCCCGATGCAGAATATGTACCTTTCAATGTATATACACTTGGTGCGTATATCTTAGTATATATACATCGAGACGTATGTATCTCTCAGTATGGACACAGATTTTTGTCTCTCAGTATATATTAATAGAGAGATGCTTAGCAGCATATATACATCAAGAAGTGCATATCTACCTGAATATATAAATAGATGAGTACCTCTGAATATGCCTGCACTTAAGAGTATGCATATCTTAGTATGTATACTCGGAGTTGTACATCTTTCGAGATATATAAATATATATATAATATATATATATATATATATAATATATATATATATATATATATATATATATAATATATATATATATATATATATATATATATATATATATATATATATATATATATGTATATATCCAAGAATAGCATTACTTTCACTCAGTACGGCAGCAGACACATAAATACTACAATAGTAAACAAAAGGGTTAATCTTTGCTCTTTTTCAACTATTTTTTCGGAGAATTAAATCATTCTTTTTTGTCGGTCCATAATTTCTTATAAGGCTGTTGTTCTTGTTTTTATATCTTTTTTTTTTTTTGTCTTCTCAAAGTTGGCTAATTTCATGAGCTCCCTTTTTCTGGGATCCTCTTTTTTCACGGCATGTTTTTCCTCTTACGTAATTCACGTTCTTTTGACTTCTTGTTTCCCCCCCCCCCCATCATGTTCTTTTTTCTTTGTTGGTTTTCGTTGTTTTTAAGGTTGTTTTTGTTGTTATTGTTGTAGTATTCATCCGGGCAACTTTTGTTTTAAGGATCACTGGCGTGGCTAGTGAAGTTTGTGTTGGTGGAATTCTTGTCAAGTCGTCAGTTTTGCTGATGCATTGGTAGTGTAGCGACGGTGTGTGTGTGTGTTTGTGTAAATGAAAGACGTTTCGCCCACCAGGGACTTTACTGTATCACGTGAATTGACACAGTGCCTGGTGGACGAGACGTTTTCTAAGTATGATAAGTAAAAGGACACAAATGCAACTAATGTGACATTTTATTGTGGGCTTGTGGCAACGTTTCGCTCTCCAGGAGCTTTGTCAAGCCGGTGACGGCTTGACAAAGCTCCTGGAGAGAGAAACGTTGTCACAATGAAATGTTACATTAGTTGCATTTGTGTCCTTTTACTTAACATATTGTCGGTAATTCTACCAATAATAATACAGACTTCTAAGTAAAAATGGCGTAACTCGCATTGTGTTTCATAACCAGCATTGTGTCTTATAACCAGCATTGTGTCATCAACAGCAATCGAGTATTTCCGATCACCTCTCTTTGTTTTTATTCCCCCAGCTATATAATTCCGGTCACCCTTATTTATTTTCTAGTCACTTTTTTATTTCCCGTCACCTTTTTTTTATTTTATTTCCGATCATATTATATATATATATATATATATATATATATATATATAATATATATATATATATATATATATATATATATATATATGTATATATATATATATATATATATAATATATATATATATATATATATATATATATATATATTATATTATATTTTCATATTTTTACTTTGAAGGGTAGAAATATTCTTTTATCCACATCCGTTGCATCCATTATATCACGGAGTTGATAGAAGGCTGTAGTTTCAAGTATATTCTCTCATAGAGTTGATTGGACGCATTCACGGGTATAGTCTCTCACGGAATTGATAGAAGGATGCATCGATGTGTGTAGTGTCTCACGGATTTGATGGCGGAAGGTATCGACGTGTGCAATTTTTCGGTGGGTCGATAGCTGTGGAAACAACAATATATAACAGGTAACTTTTGTGTTTTGAGTGGCTAGAAATGGACCACATAAAAATATAGAAATAGAGGAACACTGCAGTAAGCCTACTGGATACAAAGGTATATGAAACCGATAAGTATTGGGAGAAAAGAGACAACATGAAATCAGATGTGGCGTATTCCACTAAACATGTCCTAAGTGATCGATTTTTTTTTTCACTAGAAGGTCTACTGATCCTTGTTGGACAAGACCTTCTCAAATCCAGTACATATATTTGTGGCAACCTATTTTTAAATCTACCCAAGTTGACTCAACTTGACACATTTTTTTCACTCATTAACAACTCTATTGCCAAGCTGCCAAAAATGAGACTTTTACTGTACTAAAGATACAGAAGCTTTATTTTGCCTTTATTAAAAGATAGGAACTTTTGCCTTATCAAAAATACCAAACTAAACGTTACCAACAAGTTACCCTCACTCCATGGGATTCGTAAGCACACAAGAATGAAGCAGCACTGCAGCAGGCCTACTGGCCCATACTAGGTAGGTCTTTCTCCAACTCAAACCCACTAAACAAAAATAATTGTCAAACGCCCTCTTCACAGGCTCGACACTTCATAGAAAACTATACAAAAGAAGATCAATATTACCTATGACGAAGATCTTGTAGCCTCGGAGCTCCTTGTGTTTGTCTGAGTGGAAAGTTACCGTAAGGAAGTTGCTTTCTGAGACGAAATTCCAGTCTGGCGGTGGGAGCTTCTTACCACACATCCTGTCAGGCAGAGATCACGGTTAGTACAGTTTTGGTTAGCTGTCTGTATCTTTGAATCTTTTATTTTTTTCTATTGTGCATTTGTTTTTTTTTTTAGTTTCATTTATCGTTGATTTTTTAGTAGTTTTCATGTTTGTCTTTTTTTTTTGGTGGGGGGGGCTATGTGTACGTGTGTATAGCCTTTCACTGGATCTTCTTTTTTCTTTTATGCACTCACACACACACACACACGCGCGCGCGCCACGCGACACTCACACACACACACACACACCCACACGACCAACACCACAACACACCACACACACACACCCACAAAGCTTGACCGACCCGCAACCTCAACTAGGTGAGCACACACACACACACACCCTCTGACACCCCTATTTCTTCACAGAAAGGTAAGAGAAGCAACAGCATCATCCCTCACCTCACGCCGTACCGACCCGCCAGATTTTCTACTTTCAAGTAGTCCTTGACACAAGTCCGTGTGTACTTAATCTTCAGAGTGTCGATCACCAACTTCACTCGCTTCCCTTCCGGTACCTGAAAGGAACAATCGATAAGAGAACACTTGCTAAGAGAACACTCGTTAAGAGAACAATCGCTAAGAGAACACTCGTTAAGAGAACAATCGCTAAGAGAACACTCGTTAAGAGAACAATCGCTAAGATGGTTAAGAAAATGTCAAAATTAAAATTTAGTTTTTATATCAAGCATGTTATATGGAGATTTCATTTTCTTGTAAACTGCATTTGTGGGTCCTTACCATCGAAGCGCTAGTTGACACTATTATATACGATAGACAGAGCCAAAAGTTGCAAGACAAACATTAACTCTCATAACGTTTCACTCTCTGGGGGTTTTGTCATGACCAAATTAAACTCTATGCTGAAGCTTTATAATATCAACATCAATAAGGCTCACCGTGATGTTAAACTGGCAGTGGTAGTTGGACGGGTAGGGTTTCGGGTAGTTTGGTGAGGTCACCACACTGACGGGATGGGTTCGAGTCACCAGCACATCAAAACACGAAGGATCTGGGTTGTAAACGGAGGGTAACCATCAGCATAGGTCAGTACAAAGATGCACAGAACGTTATTTATTCTTTTTGAGCCGAAATATCGTAATTTTATGCTTTTAAACACTGAAAATGAAGGAATAGAGTCAGATTCGTTGCTGGTTTCTTGGGAAATAGGCAAGAATGTTCCCAAATCCATCAGAGACGAGGGTCATTAAGACTGTATGTAAACTCTTCACCACCAAACAACAGAACTTTAATCAGAAAATCAGAGATTACATGTTGGTTAATGGAGTTTAAGGCTGCAAGTAATTTTTTTTCACTATGAAACAAGAGTACTTTAATCCCTAAAATAGGATTATAGTAAATTCTCAGCATATGCATGCTGACAAAAAAAAGTGAGTTAAAGGTAAGCTTCGATCCCATACCAATTCTCAGATCTTCATAATTTATCACAGTCAGAATTATACCAAAATACGAAATAATTCCCTCTAAAAGCTTATAAATGTTTAACTAAATTGTAGAAACGTGAATTACATTCAGAACAATAATATACCAAGATCTTGAGAATTTTTTTTTACTGAGATCTAATTTCATTTTTTATTTTTTATTTCTTATTTTCTAAAAATCACGATTATTTGCAAAATTAGTTGGATAAGTAAGGACAAAATAAATCTTTCATGAAATATAACGGAAATATAAACACAAATGCAGTATAATGTGATCCTTTATTGACAACGTTTCACCCACACAGTGGGCTTTTTCAAGTCACACACGGATCTACCTGGGGTTGGAAGGTACGAGAGTATTTATAGTCAGAATGTTGAGGTCAGGTGGAGAATGCTGCATCTGTGATCATACACGGGTGGGGTTTATAGAGTCTGGGTAGCTTGCAGGGGTATTGGTGACAAGTGACCTCGCAGTGTTCTATGTTCTTATGTGGGATAGCGATGAATAAGTTTCTTGGCGAGGTGGTTCAGCTTGTTATGAAAGCAACAATTTCAACCAGAACAATGGCTCTATAACATAGCTGAACCACTCGCCAAGAAAAAACTTCTCATCGGTATACCAACATAGAACATTGTAACACTGCAGAAGGTCTACAACTTGTCCAATATCCCTGCCAAGCTACCAAAGACTCTATAACCCAACCGGTAAGATCATTCGATGCAGCATTCTCCACTGACCTCAAACATTCTGATATAAATAACTCTCGTACCTTCCAATCCCAGGTCAGATCCGTGTGTGACTGAAAAAGCCCACTGTTTTGACATGAAACGTGTGTCAATAAAAGGATATACCATTGATACTGCAATATTTGTTTATTTTATTTTCATTTGTCTCCGTATTTTATAAAAATTTATTTTCCCAAAAAACATAATATAACGGAACTGATGGTTTACAGATATTGAATAAATCTCTGAACTGAGTGTACACACCTGGAGTGGTAGTAGTGGTGGGTGAAGTGGTGGTGGTAGTGGTGGTAGTGGTGGTAGTGGTTGTCGTGGTTGTCGTGGTTGTCGCGGTTGTGGTACGTGTTGGTAAGATGACAGATGACGCGGAGAAGACATTCGCACCTAAGGAGGAGCCTACACCCAGGCAAGCCAAGTAGTTATGAGACGAGGAAATGATGTACTTAAACTTTAAAATAAAATAATAATAAATGACAATAATAATAAATAATAATAATAATAAATAATAATAAACAATAATAATAATAATTAAAATAACAATAGAAGAAAATATTAACAAAAATAAAAATGTTTAAAATAATAACAATTCTAAAACTACGACTACTACTACTACTACTACTACTACTACTACTACTAATAATAATAATAATAATAATAATAATAATAATAATAATAATAATAATAATAATAGTAATATAATATTAATAGTAATAATATAATATCAATCAAAATTTAAGGAAAAATGTTGACATAAAAACACAATACTTACACATACTGAAGCTCCCAGAGCTTGACCTGAAGGAGATAAAGCTGCTGGTGGGTCTACTACTGAAGTTCGTACTGATAGATGAATAACTGCTGATGCTGCAACTGCTGAAACTGGCATTGCTGTAGATGATACTGACGAAGCTGGTAAGGCTGGAGCTGAAAGTACTGTTGAAGCTAGAATTACTGAACATGGTACTGCTGAAGCTAGCACTACTGAAGCTGGTACTACTGAAACTGGTACTGCAAAAGCTGAAACTGCTGAAGCTGGTACTGCTGAAGCTGGTAGTGATGGAGGTGATACAAATGGAGCTGGTACTACTGAAGCTGGTGCTGCTGACACTGGTAAAGCTGACGCTGGTACTGCTGAAGGTGATACTGCTGGCGTAGATACTATTGAAACTAATACTGCTGAAGCTGGTGCTACCGAAACTGATACTACTGGAGCAGGTACTGCTACAGCTGGTACTGCTGGAGCTGGTACTGATGGAGCTGATAAAGCTGGAGCTGATACTGCTGGAGCTGGTGCTGCAAGAGCTCATACTGTTAGAGGTGGTGCTGCTGGTGCTGCTGGTGCTGCTGGTGCTGCTGGTGCTGCTGGTGCTGATACTTGTGGACCTGGTACTACTGGAGCGGGCACTGCTGGAGCTGGAATTACTGGAACCGATACTGCTAGAGGTGGTACTGTTTAAGTTTATACTGCTGGAGCTGATACTGCTGGAGCCGGTACTCCTGGAATTGACGTTGCTAGAAGTGGTACCGCTGGAGCTGATACCGGTAGAGATGTTACTGTTGGAGCTGATACTGCTCGTACTAGAAATTATTGAAATGATGATACTGGAGTTGATACTGCTAAAAGTGTTACTACAGGAGCTGATACTGCTACGAGAGGTACTGTTGGAGCTGAATCTGACGGAGCTGGTGCTGCTAGAGCTGATACTGCAAGACGTGGTACTGCTGAAGCTTATACTGCTAGACCTGAAACTGCTGGAGCTGGTATTGGTGTAGCTGATACTGGTGGACTTGGTACTGCGGGAGCTGATACTACCGAAGCTAATACTGATGAAGCTGATACTGCTGGAGCTGGTACTACTGGAGCTGGTACTGCTGTAGCTGGAATAGCTGGAACTAATTCTGCTATAGATGGTATTTCTGGAGCAGATACTGCTGGAGCTGAAATTGATGGAGCTGATACTGCTTGAGCTGGTATTCGTGTATCTGATACTGCTGGAGTTGATATGCTTGTAGCTCATACTGCTGAAGCTTATACTACTAGAGGTAGTATTGTTCAAGCTGATACTGCTGGAACTGGTACTGCAGAAGCTGACACTGTTTGAGATGGTACTGCCGGAGTAGAATCTACTAGAGCTGATACTGCTCGTACTGCAACTGATACTGCTGGAGCTGGTACTGATCGAGCTGATACTGCTGGAGCTGGTACTGCTCGAGCCGGTACTGCTGGAGAAGGTGCCGTTGGAGCTGATACTGCTAAAGCTGACACTGATGGAGCTGGAACTGCTGGAGCTGGTACTACTGGAGCCGATACTGCTTGAGCTGATACTGCTGAAACTGATGCTAATGAAGCTGGCACTGCTGAAGCTGATGTTGCTGAAGTTGATACTACTGAAGCTTGTAATGCTGGAGTTGATACTGCTGAAGCTGGTACTGCTGAAGCTGATACTGCTAAAGCTGGTACTGCCGAAGCTGATACTGCTGAAGATGGTACTACTGGAGCTGATACTTCTAGAGCTGACACTGCTGAAGTTGGTACTGCTGGAACTGATACTGCTAGTGCTTATACCGATGGAGCTGATACTACTGGCCCTCGTACAAGGGGAGCTTATACTGCAAGAGCTAATACTTCTGGAGGTGGAACTACTGGAGCAGATACTATTGGAGCTGATACTGTTTGAACTAATACTTCTGAAGCTGGAACTGCTGAAGGTGAAACTGCTGAAGCTACTACTACTGCACCTGGAACTACTGAAGCCGGTAGTGCAGGAGCTGATACTGTTGGAGCTGGTACTAGTGGAGTTGATGCTGCTAGAGATGGTACTGCTGGAGATGGTATTGCTGTACGTGGTACTGCTGGAGTTGATACTCCTGGAGCTGGTACTACTGGAGCTAGTACTACAGGAACTGATACTGCTGGAGGTGGTCCTACCGGAACTGATGCTGATACAGCTGTTACTGGTGAAGCTGATACTGCTGGAGCTGATACTGCTAGAAGTGATACTGCTGGAGAATGCGCTGCTGGAGCTGGAAATGCTTGAACTGATACTGCTGGAGCTTATACTGCTGGAGGTGATAATGCTCCAGCTAATACTGCTAGAGCTTATACTGGTAGAGCTGACATTGCTACACATGGTACTGCTGGAGGTGGTAATGCTGGATCTGGTACTGCTGTAGCTGATACTGTTAGAGATGTTACTGCTGAAACTGGTATTGCAAGAGCTTGATACTGCTGGAGCTGATACTGCTGGAGCTGCCACTACTGAAGCTGATACTGCTAGAGCTGGTACTGCTAGAGCTGACACTCCTTGAGCCGGTACTACAGGAGCTGATACTGCTGGAGATGGTACTACCAAAGCTGATATTGCTGAAGTTCATACTTCTGAAGCTGATACTACTGACGCTGATACTGCTGAAGCTGGTACTACTGGAGCTGGTGCTACTGGAGCTGGTACTACTGGAGTTCATTCTGCTTGAGCTAATACTGCTGCAGCTGGTATTCGTGGACCTGATACTGTGGAAGCTGATACTGCTGGAGCTGAAGCTGCTGGAGCTGGCACTGCTGGAGAAAGTACTGCTGAAGCTGATACTGAAAGAGGCCATACTCCTAGAGGTGGCACTACTGGAGCTGGTACTGCTGAAACTAATGTTGCTAGAAGTGGCACTGCTGGAGTGTATATTGCTTGAGTTGGTATTGCTGCTGCTGGTACCGCTGGAGCTGATACCGGTAGAGATGTTACAGTTGGAGCTGATACTGCTCGTACTAGAAATGATTGAAATGATGATACTGGAGCTGATACTGCTAAAAGTGTTACTACAAGAGCTGATACTGCTACGAGAGGTACTGTTGGAGCTGAATCTGACGGAGCTGGTGCTGCTAGAGCTGATACTGCAAGACGTGGTACTGCTGAAGCTTATACTGCTAGAGCTGACACTGCTGGAACTGGTATTGGTGTAGCTGATACTGGTGGACTTGGTACTGCGGGAGCTGATACTACCGAAGCTGATACTGCTGAAGCTGCAACTACTGAAGCCTATACTGATGGAACTAGAACTAATGAACTGACACTGAAGAAGCTGATACTGCTTGAACTGGTACTGCTTGATCCGGTACTGCTGGTGCTGGTACTCCTGGAACTGACAGTACTGGAGTTGATATTGCTTGAGCTGATACTTGTGGAGCTGGAAATAATAGAGCTGATGCTGAAGGACGTGTTACTGCTGGAGGTGACACTGCTGGAGCTGATATTGCTGAAGCGGATACTACTGGAGCTGATACTGCTGTACCTGACACTGATGGAGCTGATACTGCTGGAACTGATTCTTATGAAGCTGGCACTGCTGGAGTTGATGGTAGTGAAGCTGGTACTGCTGGAACTTTTACTGCTGGGAATGGTACTTGCGGAGCTTACGCTAATAGAGCTGGTACTGCTGGAGCTGGTATTGCTGGAGCTGATGCTGGGTGAGCTGATAGTGCTGGAGATGGTACTGCTAGACCTGATTCCACTGGAGCTGGTACTGCTGGTTCTGCTTGTAGTGCTACTGCTGGAGGTCATACAGCTGATGAGTGTATCACTGGGGCTGATGTTGTTGGAGCAGATACTGCTGGAGCTTGTACTACTAGAGCTAATGCTCGTGGAGAAGGTACTGCTACAGCTGGTAATCTTGGAGTTGATACTGCTGGAGCGTTTACTGCTGGAGCTGATACTGATGGAGATGCTGCTGCTATTCGAAGTACTGATGGAGCTCGTACTGCTGGAGGTGGTACTGCTAGAACTGGTACTACTGGAGCTGACTCTGATATAACTCGTACTGATGGAGCCGGTACTGCTGGAGCTGATGGAGCTGGAGCTGATATTCATGGAGAAGGTACTGCTGGAGCTGATACTGCTGGAACTAGTAGTGTTGGAACTGACACTACTGGAGATACTACTACTGTAACTAATGCTGCTGGAGCTAAAGCTGCTGGAGGTGGTACATCTGGAGCTGCTACTGCTGGAACTGATACTGCTAGTAACTGATACTGCTGGAGCTGATACTGCTATAACTGATACTGCTGGAGCTGATGTTACTGTAGCTAGAAGTGCTGGATATGATATTGCAGGAGCTGATACTAGTGGATGTGATACTATGGAAGCTCTTATGGCTTGAGCCGGTATATTTGGAGGTGGAACTACTGGAGCTGATAATTCTAGAGCTGGAACTAATAGAGCTGATTCTCATGGAGGCAGAACTCATGGAGCTGATACTACTGGACCTGATTCTACTGGAGCCGGTACTGATGGAACTGATATTACTAGAGTTGGTAGTGATGGAGCTGGTACTACTGAAGCTGATACTGTTGGACTTGGTACTGCTGGAGCTGACACTGCTGGAGCTGGTAGTGAATGAGCTAGTACTAATGCAGTTGAAACTAATGGAGCTGGTACTACTGGAACTGATACTGCTGGAAGTGGCACTGCTGGAGCTGATACTGCTGGAACTAGTAGTGCTGGAGCTGACAGTACTGGAGATGCTACTACTGTAGCTAATGCTGCTGGAGCTAAAGCTGCTGGAGGTGATACATCCGGAGCTGCTACTGCTGGAGCTGATACTGCTATAACTGATACTGCTGGAGCTGATGTTACTGGAGCTAGTAGTGCTGGATCTGATATTGCCGGAGCTGATACTAGTGGATGTGATACTGTGGAAGCTCTTATGGCTTGAGCTGATACATTTGGAGGTGGAACTGCTGGAGCTGACAATTCTGGAGTTGGAACTAATAGAGCTGATTCTCATGAAGCTGATACTACTGGACCTGATTCTACTGGAACCGGTACTGATGGAATTGATACTGCTAGAGTTGGTAGTGATGGAGCTGGTACTACTGAAGCTGATACTGTTGAACTTGGTACTGCTGGAGCTGACACTGCTGGAACTGGTAGTGAATGAGCTGGTACTACTGCAATTGAAGCTAATAGAGCTGGTACTGCTGAATATTATACCGCTGGAGATGGTACCACTTGAGCTGGTTCTGCCGGAGCTTAAGTTAATGGAGCTGGTATTTCTGGAGCTGATACTACTGGAGCTGATAGTGCTTAAGGGGGTACTGCTGAAGCTGATACCGCTGGATCTGATGCTCCTGGACCTGGTATTGCTGGAGCCGATGCTGCTGAAACTGATACTGCTAGAGCTGATACTGCTGGAGATGTTACTGCTGGACCTGGTACTTCCGGAGCTGGTGCTACTGGAGGTAGCCCTGCTGGAGCTGATGCTGATGGAGTTGGTACTGCTGGAGCTAGTACTACTGGAGCTGATACTACTGGAGCTGATGCTGATGGAGTTGATACTGCTGAAGCTAGTACTGCTGAAGCTAGTACTGCTGGAGCTAGTACTGCTGGAGCTGATGCTGCTGGAGTTTGTACTGCTGGAGCTGGTGCTCCTGGAGCTGATACTGCTGGAGCTGATGCTGCTGGAGTTGGTACTGCTGGAGCTGGTACTGTCGGAGGTGAAGCTACTGGAGTAGGTACTCCTGGAGCCGGTAGTACTGGAGCTGATACTGCTGGATATAATACTGCCGGAGCTGATATTTCTGAAGGTGGAGCTGAGAGAGCAGATACTGCTGGAGTTAATACTGCTGGACGTTGAACTGCTGAAGCTGATAATTCTGAAACTGGAACTAATAGAGCTGATTCTGATGGAGGTGATACTGTTGGAACTGATATAGCTGGAGGCAGTACTGCTGGAGCTAATACTGCTGGACCTTGTACTGCTGGAGCTCTTACTCCTGGAGCTGATTCTGCTGGAGGTGGTACTGCTGGAACTGATGCTGAAGGTGGTACTGCTGGAACTGGTACTGCTGGAGCTGGTACTGGTGGGGCTGATGTTGCTGAAGGTGGTAGTGCTGGAGCTGTTAATGCTGGAACTGGTACTGCTGGAACTGGGACTGCTGTAGCTGATGCTGCTGGAGTTGGTACTGATGGAGTTAATGCTGGTGGAGGTGGCACTGCTTGAGTTGATATGCTGGAGCCTATACTGCTGCATCTGGTACTGCTAGAGCTGCGACTGCTGGAGCTGCTACTGATGGAGGTCATATAGCTTGAGCTTGTATTACTGGAGCTGATGCTGTTGGAGTTGATGTTGCTGGAGATAATACTACTGAAGGCGGTTAAGCTGGATCTAAAACCGATGAAGCTGGTACTGCTGGAGCTGATACTGATGGAACTGATTCTACAGGAGCTGGTGCTGCTGGAGCTGATACTGCTGTAGTTAATGCTGGTGGAGGTGGAACTGCTATAGCTGGTACTCTTGGAGTTGATACTACTGGAGCCTTTAGTGCCGGATCTCTTACTGATAGAGCTGATACTGCTATAACAAATACTGCTTGAGCTGGTACTGCTGGAACTGGTACTGATGGAACTAATTCTGCTGGAGCTGGTACGGCTGGAGCTGGCACTACTGGAACTGGTAGTGAAGGAGCTGGTACTACTAGAGCTGATACCGCTGGAACTGATACCAATGAAGGTAGTACTGCTGCAGCTAACTTTGCAGGGGCTGGTACTGCTGGAGGTGGTAGTGAAGTAACTTTTACTACTAGAACTGATACTGCTAGACATTGTACTGTTGGAGCTGGTACTTCTGGAGCTGGTACTTCTGGAGCTGTTTCTGCTGGAGCTCGTACTGCTGGAGCTGGTACTAGTGGAGCTGATGCTGCTGGAGGTGGTCGTGAAGGAACTGGTACTACTGGAACAGAAGCTAATGGAGCTGGTACTGCTCGAGTTGGTACTGCTGGAGCTGGTACTGCTGGAGGTGGTACTGCTGGTAAAGTTTCTGCTGAAAAACTTACTGCTTACACTTGGCCTACTAGATAATGTACTGCTAGAGCTGGGACTACTAAATAGGCTACTGCTGAATACGTTGCTGCTGAAGTTACTGTTGCTGCTGCTACTGCTAGATCTTATCCTAACTGAGCAGGAACTGCTTTGACTGTAGGAGCTGAGACTGCTGGAGAAGATACTGCTGGAAAAGCTTCTGCTGGAGAAGGTACTGCTGGAATAAGACAAGAAAGAGCTATTGAATCTTGATGTGGAAGAACTACTGCAACTTAATGAGAGAGAAGATCTATCGGAACTTGATAAGTATGAACTAATGAATGAAGAAGGATTATTGGAAATTGGCGAGTGAGAATTACTGGAACTTAATGTGGAACAACTACTGGTTAGTGATGAGACAGAACTAGTGGAAGGTGCTAGGGTAGCACTGCTCAAACTTGATGAGGAAGAAACACTGGAATTTAGTAAGGAGGATGTTCTGGATACTGGTAAGGAAGAACTGTTGGAATACCACAAGGAAGAACTACTGGAGCTTGATAACGAAGAATTAAGGAGACTTATTGAGGAAAAATTGCTGGAAATTGATAAGGAAGAACTGTTGAAACTTCCTGGAAAAGATCCACTGGATACTGATAAGGTTGAGCTGGTGAATCTAGATGAGAAAGAATTATTAGAACTTGATGAGTAGCTACTTAAACGTGACGAAGAACTATTGGAAGTTGACGACAAGAAATGACTTGTGGATCTTGATAACCATGAACTATCAGAACTTGATAAGGAAGTTCTTGATAAGAAGGAACTTCTGGATAGTGAAGAGGGTAAATTATTTGAACTTGGTGATGATAACGAGCTTCTCGAACTTGAATAAGAAGTACTGGAAGCTGAGGCAGAACTACTGTAACTTAATGAAGAATTACTAACGGAACTTGAGAAGGAAGAAATACAGGAACTTAATGATGAGGAATTTTTGACGCTTAATGAAGAGGAAGAGCTAATGGTTACTGATGAGTAAGAACAACTGGTTACTGATGAAGAATAACTACTGGTTACTAATGAGGAAGAATTACTGGTTGCTGATGAAGAAGAAAAGCTCCTTACTGATGAGGAAAAACTACCGGTTAGTGATGAGGAAGAATTACCGTTTACTGATGAGGAAGAACTGCTTGTCACTGATGAGGAAGAACTGGTTACTGATGAGGAAAAAATACTGATTAGTGATGAGGAAGAGTCACTGCTTAACGATGAAGAAGAACTGCTGGTTACTGATGAGGAGGAACTGATTGTTAGAGTTGGGGAAGAACTACTGGTTAGTGATAAGTAAGACCTACTGCTAGGTATTGAGGAAGAACTACTTGTCACTGATGAGGAAGAACTACTGGTTAGTAGAGAAGAACTACTTGTTAGTGATGAAGAACTACTGGCTAATGATGAGGAATAACTACTGGTAAGTGATGGGGAAGAACTACTCTTTAGTGATGAGTAAGATCTACTGTTTAGAGAGGAGTAAGAACTACTGCTTACTGATGGGGAAGAACTACTAGTCACTGATGAGGAGGAAAGGCTGGTTTTTGATGGGTTAGAACTACTTTTCTCTGATGGTAACGAACTACTAGTTGCAGATGTAGAAGAACCACTGCTTATTGATGAGGAAGAACTACTGCTTAGTGATGAGGGAGAAATAACGGTTAATGAGGAGGAACTACTGGACAGTGATGAGGAAGAACCACTGGTTACTAATGACGAAAAATTACTGGTTGCTGAAGAAGAAGAACTACTGGTTACATATGAGGAAGAACTATTGGTTAGCGATGAGGAAGATTTACTGGTTACTGATGAGGAAGAACTATTGGTTACTGCTGAGGAGAAACTACTTTTCTCTGATGGCAAAGAACTACTGCTTATTGATGAAGAAGAACTACTGGTTAGTGATGGGGAAGAACTACTGGTTAGTGATTTGGAAGCACTAATGATTCGAGATGTGGCAGAACTACTGGTTACTGATGAGGAAGATCTACTGGTTAGAGAGGAGGAAGAACTACTGGTTAGTGATGAGGAAGAACTACTGGATGCTGATAAGTAAGGACTACTGGTTACTGATGAGGAATAACTACTGGTTACTAATGAGGAAGAAGTACTGGTTGCTGATGAAGAAGAATTATTGGATACTGATGAGGAAGAACTACTGCTTAGTGAATGGGAAGAATAACTGGTTACTGATGAGGAAGATATGATGGTTACAGATGAGCAGGAACTACTAGTTAATGATGAGAATGAACTACTTGTTAGAGATGGGGAAGAACTACTGGTTAGATATTGGGAAGAACTACTTGAAAGTGATGAGTAAGAACTACTGGTTAGTGACGAAGAGGAATTTCTGGTTAGTGATGAGAAAGAATTACTAGTTACTGATGAGGAGGAACGACTGGATATTGTTGAGAAAGAACTACTTTTCTCTGATGGCAAAGAACTACTGCTTGCAGATGGAGAAGAACTACTGCTTATTGATGAGGAAAAAGTACTGCTTACTGGTGAAGAAGAACTACTGGTTAGTAATGGGGAAGAAAAACTGGTTAGTGATTTGGAAGAACTAATGATTCGAGATGTGGCAGAACTACTGGTTACTGATGAGGAAGGTCTACTGGTTATTGAGGAAGAAGAACTACTGGATGCTGATGAGTAAGGACTACTGGTTACTGAGGAGGAATAACTATTGGTTACTAATGATGAAGAATTACTGGTTGCTGATGAGGAAGATGTGCTCGTTACTGATGACGAAGAACTACAGATTACCGATGAGGAGGAACTACTGATTAATGATGAGGAAGAACTGCTTGGTAATGCTGAAGAAGAACTACTGGTTAGTGATGAGGAAGAACTACTGGTTAGTGTTGGGGAAGAACTACTGGTTAGAGATTTGAAAGAACTACTGGTTCGTGATGTGGAAGAACTACTGGTTACTGATGAGGAAGATCTACTGGTTAGTGTTGAGGAAGAACTAAAGATTAGTGATGAGGAAGTATTACTGGTTACTGTTGAGGAAGAACCGCTGGTTACTGATGAAGAAGAACTACTGGTTAATGATGAGGGGGAACTACTGGTTAATGATGAGGAAGAACTGCTGGTTACTGGTGAGGGGGAACTACTGGTTAATGATGAGGAAGAAATTCTGGTTAATGAAGAAGACGAACTACTGGTTAGAGATGGGGAAGAGTTATTGTTTAATGATGAGGAAGAACTTCTGGTTTCTGTTAACGATGAACTGCTGGTTACTGATGTTGATGAATTGCTGGTTACTGATGAGGGAGAACTACTAGTTAGAGATGGGGAAGAACTACTGGTGAGTGATGAAGAAGAATTGCTTGTTACTGATGACGAAGAACTGCTTGTTAGAGATGGTGAAGAACTACTGGTTAGTGATGAGTAAGAACTACTGGTTACTATTGGGGAAGAACTACTGGTTACTGATGAGGAATAACTACTGGTTAGTGGTGAAGAAGTACTGGTTAATGATGAGGAAGAACTACTGGTTAATGATGAGGAAAAACTACTGGCTAGTGATGAGGAAGAATTACTGGTTACTGATGAAGAAGAAAAGTTCGTTACTGATGAGGAAGAACTACCGGCTAGTGATGAGGAAGAAATACCGGTTACTGATGAGGAAGAACGGCTTGTCACTGATGAGGACGAACTTCTGGTTACTGATGAGTAATAACTACTGATTACTGATGAGGAAGAGTTACTGCTTAATGATGAGGAAGGACTGCTGGTTTCTAATAGGGAAGAACTACTGCTTACTGATGAGGAAGAATTGCTCGTTACTGATGAGGACGAACTGATTGTTAGAGATGGGGAAGAACTACTGGTTAGTGATGAGTAAGAACTACTGCTAGGTATTGAGGAAGAACTACTGGTTACTGATGAGGAAGAACTACTGGTTAGTGGAGAAGAACTACTTGTTAGTGATGAGGAAGAACTACTGCTTACTGATGGGGGAGAACAACTAGTTACTGATGAGTAGGAAAGGCTGGTTTTTGATGGGTTAGAGCAACTTTTCTGTGATGGCAACGAACTACTAGTTGCAGATGTAGAAGAACTACTGCTTATTGATGAGGAAGAACTACTGCTTATTGATAGGGAAAAACTACTGCTTAGTGATGAAGAAGATCCATTGGTTAGTGATGGGGAAGAACTACTGGTTACTGATGAGGAAGATCTACTGGTTAGTGCTGAGGACGAACTACTGGATAAAGATAGGGAAGAACTAATGGTTAGATATGCGGAAGAACTACTGGTTTGTGATGAGTAAAAGCTACTGGTTAGTGATGAGAAAGAATTACTAGTTACTGATGAGGAAGAACGACTGGTTATTGTTGAGAAAGAACTACTTTTCTCTGATGGCAAAGAACTACTGCTTGCAGATGGAGAAGAACTACTGCTTATTGATGAGGAATAATTACTGCTTATTGATGAAGAACTACTGGTTAGTGTTGGGGAAGAAATACTGGTTAGTGATTTGGAAGAACTAATGATTCGAGATGTGGCAGAACTACTGGTTACTGATGAGGAAGATCTACTGGTTACTAATGAAAAAGAATTAAAGGTTGCTGATGAAGAATAACTACTCGATACTGATGAAGAATAACTACTCGATACTGATGAGGAAGAACTACTGCTTAGTGAATGGGAAGAATAACTGGTTACTGATGAGGAAGAATTTCTTGTTACTGATGAGGAAGATGTGCTCGTTACTGATGACGAAAAACTACAGGTTACCGATGAGGAGGAACTACTCATTAATGATGAGGAAGAACTGCTTGGTAATGCTGAAGAAGAACTACTGGTTAGTGATGGGGAAGAACTACTGGTTAGAGATTTGAAAGAACTACTGGTTCGTGATGTGGAAGAACTACTAGTTACTGATGAGGAAGATCTTCTTGTTAGTGATGAGGAAGAACTACTGGTTAGTGATGAGGAAGAACTATTGGTTAGAGATTTAAAAGAACTACTGGTTCGTGATGTGGAAGAACTACTGGCTACTGATGAGGAAGATCTACTGGTTAGTGTTGAGGAAGAACTACTGGTTAGTGATGAGGAAGTATTACTGGTTAATGTTGAGGAAGAACTGCTGGTTGCTGATGAAGAAGAACTACTGGTTAATGATGAGGAAGAACTGCTGGTTACTGGTAAGGGGGAACTACTGGTTAATGATGAGGAAGAACTTATGGATAATGATGATGAACTACTGGTTAGAGATGGGGAAGAGTTATTGTTTAATGATGAGAAAGAACTCCTGGTTTCTGTTAACGATGAACTGCTGGTTACTGATGAGGGAGAACTACTAGTTAGAGAAGCCGAAGAACTACTGGTGAGTGATGAAGAAGAATTACTGGTTACTGCTGACGAAGAACTGCTGGTTTTTGATAAGGAAGAACTGCTTGTCACTGACGAGGAAGATATGATGGTTACAGATGAGCAGGAACTACTGGTTAATGATGAGAATAAACTATTTGTTAGAGATGGGGAAGAACTACTATTTAGATATTGGGAAGAACTACTGGTTACTGACGAGGAGGAATTTCTGGTTAGAGATGAGGAAGAACTTCTGGTTACCGATGAGGAAGAACTACCGATTAATAATGAGGAAGAGTTACTGGTTAATGATGAGGAAGAACTGCTGGTTTCTGATAAGGAAGAACTGCTGGTTCCTGATGAGCAAGAGTTGCTGGTTACTGATGAGAAAGAACTGTTTGTTAGAGATGGTGAAGAACTACAGGTTAGTGATGAGTATGCACTACTGGTTACTATTGGGGAAGAACTACTGGTTACTGATAAGGTAGAACTACTGGTTAGTGGTGAAGAAGTACTGGTTAATGATGAGGGAGAACTACTGGTTAATGATGAGGAATAACTACTGGCTAGTGATGCGGAAGAATTACTGGTTACTGATGAAGAAGAAAAGTTCGTTACTGATGAGGAAGAACTACCGCTTAGTGATGAGGAAGAATTACCGGTTACTGATGAGGAAGAACGGCTTGTCACTGATGAGAACGAACTTCTGGTTAGTGATGAGTAATAACTACTGATTACTGATGAGGAAGAGTTACTGCTTAATGATGAGGAAGGACTGCTGGTTTCTAATAAGGAAGAACAACTGCTTACTGATGAGGAAGAATTGCTGGTTACTGGTGAGGACGAACTGATTGTTAGAGATGGGGAAGAACTACTGGTTAGTGATGAGTAAGAACTACTGCTAGGTATTGAGGAAGAACTACTGGTTACTGATGAGGAGGAACTACTGGTCAGTGGTGAATAACTACTTGTTAGTGATGAGGAAGAACTACTGGTTAGTGATGAGGAAGAACTACTGGATGCTGATGAGTAAGGACTACTGGTTACTGAGGAGGAATAACTACTGGTTACTAATGAAGAAGAATTAAAGGTTGCTGATGAAGAATAACTACTCGATACTGATGAGGAATAACTACTGCTTAGTGAATGGGAAGAATAACTGGTTGATGATAAGGAAGAATTTCTTGTTACTGATGAGGAAGATGTGCTCGTTACAGATGATGAAGAGCTACAGGTTACCGATGAGGAGGAACTACTGATTAATGATGAGGAAGAACTGCTGGGTAATGCTGAAGAAGAACTTCTGGTTAGTGATGGGGAAGAACTACTGGTTAGAGATTTGAAAGAATTACTGGTTCGTGATGTGGAAGAATTACTGGTTACTGATGAGGAAGATCTTCTGGTTAGTGTTGAGGAAGACCTACTGGTTAATGATGGGGAAGAACTACTGGTTAGAGATTTGAAAGAACTACTGGTTCGTGATGTGGAATAACTACTGGTTACTGATGAGGAAGATTTACTGGCTATTGATGAGGAAGAACTACTGATTAGTGATGAGGAAGAATTGCTGGTTACTGTTGATGAAGAACTCCTGGTTACTGATGACGAAGAACTACTGTTTAATGATGAGGCGGAACTATTGGTTAATGATGAGGAAGAACTGTCGGTTACTGGAGAGGGGGAACTGCTGGTTAATGATGAGGAAGAACTGCTGGTTAATGATGAAGATGAACTACTGGTTAGAAATGGGGAAGAGTTATTGTTTAATGATGAGGAAGAACTCCTGGTTACTACTAACGCAGAACTGCTTGTTACTGATGAGGGAGATCTAGTAGTTAGGAATGGGGAAGAACTACTGGTGAGTGATGAAGAAGAATTACTGGTTACTGCTGACGAAGAACTGCTGGTTTCTGATAAGGAAGAACTGCTGGTTTTTGATAAGGAAGATCTGCTGGTTACTGATGAGGAAGAACTACTAGCTAGTGATGAAGATATACTGGATATTGATAGGGAAGAACTGCTCTTTAGAGACTTGGAGGAACTTCTGGATTGTGATGGGGAGGAAATGCTGCATACTGATGAGGAAGAAATACTAGTTACTGATGAGGAAGAACTGCTTGTCACTGACGAGGAAGATATCATGGTTACAGATGAGCAGGAACTACTGGTTAATGATGAGAATGAACTACTTGTTAGAGATGGGGAAGAACTACTGGCTAGATATTGGGAAGAACTACTTGTAAGCGATGAGTAAGAACTACTGGTTAGTGACGAGGAGGAATTTTTGGTTAGTGATGAAGAAGAACTTTTGGTTACCGATGAGGAAGAACTTCCGATTAATAATGAGGAAGAGTTACTGGTTAATGATGAGGAAGAACTGCTGGTTTCTGATAAGGAAGAACTGCAGGTTCCTGATGAGGAAGAGTTGCTGGTTACTGATGAGGAAGAACTGCTTGTTAGAGATGGTGAAGAACTACTGGTTAGTGATGAGTAAGAACTACTGGTTACTATTAGGGAAGAACTACTGGTTACTGATGAGGAAGAACTACTGGTTAGTGGTGAAGAAGTACTGGTTAATGATGAGGAAGAACTACTGGTTAATGATGAGGAATAACTACTGGCTAGCGATAAGGAAGAATTACTGGTTACTGATGAAGAAGAAAAGTTCGTTACAGATGAGGAAGAACTACCGGTTAGTGATGAGGAAGAATTACCGGTTACTGATGATGAAGAACGGCTTGTCACTGATGAGGACGAACTTCTGGTTACTGATGAATAATAACTACTGATTACTGATGAGGAAGAGTTATTGCTTAATGATGAGGAAGGGCTGCTGGTTTCTAATAAGGAAGAACCACTGCTTGCTGATGAGGAAGAATTGCTGGTTACTGAAGAGGACGAACTGATTGTTAGAGATGGGGAAGAACTACTAGTTAGTGATGAGTAAGAACTACTGCTAGGTATTGAGGAAGAACTACTGGTTACTGATGAGGAAGAACTACTGGCTACTGATGAGGAAGATCTACTGGTAAGTGTGGAGGAAGAACTACTGATTAGTGATGAGGAAGTATTACTGGTTAATGTTGAGGAAGAACTGCTGGTTGCTGATGAGGAAGAACTACTGGTTAATGATGAGGGGGAACTACTGGTTAATGATGAGGAAGAACTGCTGGTTACTGGTAAGGGGGAACTACTGGTTAATGATGAGGAAGAACTTATGGTTAATGATGATGAACTACTGGTTAGAGATGGGGAAGAGTTATGGTTTAATGATGAGAAAGAACTCCTGGTTTCTGTTAACGATGAACTGCTGGTTACTGATGAGGGAGAACTACTAGTAAGAGAAGCCGAAGAACTACTGGTGAGTGATGAAGAAGAATTACTGGTTACTGCTGACGAAGAACTGCTGGTTTTTGATAAGGAAGAACCGCTGGTTTTTGATAAGGAAGAACTGCTGGTTACTGATGAGGAAGAACTGCTTGTTAGAGATGGTGAAGAACTACTAGTTAGTGATGAAGAAATACTGGATACTGATAGGGAAGAACTGCTCTTTAGAGACTTGGAGGAACTTCTGGATTTTGATGGGGAGGAAATGCTGCATACTGATGAGGAAGAAATACTAGTTACTGATGAGGAAGAACTGCTTGTCACTGACGAGGAAGATATGATGGTTACAGATGAGCAGGAACTACTGGTTAATGATGAGAATAAACTATTTGTTAGAGATTGGGAAGAACTACTATTTAGATATTGGGAAGAACTACTGGTTAGTGACGAGGAGGAATTTCTGGTTAGAGATGAGGAAGAACTTCTGGTTACCGATGAGGAAGAACTACCGATTAATAATGAGGAAGAGTTACTGGTTAATGATGAGGAAGAACTGCTGGTTTCTGATAAGGAAGAACTGCTGGTTCCTGATGAGGAAGAGTTGCTGGTTACTGATGAGAAAGAACTGTTTGTTAGAGATGAAGAACTACTGGTTAGTGATGAGTATGCACTACTGGTTACTATTGGGAAAGAACTACTGGGTACTGATGAGGAAGAACTACTGGTTAGTGGTGAAGAAGTACTGGTTAATGATGAGAAAGAACTACTGGTTAATGATGAGGAATAACTACTGGCTAGTGATGCGGAAGAATTACTGGTTACTGATGAAGAAGAAAAGTTCGTTACTGATGAGGACGAACTACCGGTTAGTGATGAGGAAGAATTACCGGTTACTGATGAGGAAGAACGGCTTGTCACTGATGAGAACGAACTTCTGGTTACAGATGAGTAATAACTACTGATTACTGATGAGGAAAAGTTACTGATTAAAGATGAGGAAGGACTGCTGGTTTCTAATAAGGAAGAACTACTGCTTACTGATGAGGAAGAATTGCTGTTTACTGGTGAGGACGAACTGATTGTTAGAGATGGGGAAGAACTACTGGTTAGTGATGAGTAAGAACTACTGCTAGGTATTGAGGAAGAACTACTGGTTACTGATGAGGAAGAACTACTGGTCAGTGGTGAAGAACTACTTGTTAGTGATGAGGAAGAACTACTGGTTAGTGATGAGGAAGAACTACTGGATGCTGATGAGTAAGGACTACTGGTTACTGAGGAGGAATAACTACTAGTTACTAATGAAGAAGAATTAAAGGTTGCTGATGAAGAATAACTACTCGATACTGATGAGGAATAACTACTGCTTAGTGAATGGGAAGAATAACTGGTTGATGATAAGGAAGAATTTCTTGTTACTGATGAGGAAGATGTGCTCGTTACAGATGATGAAGAGCTACAGGTTACCGATGAAGAGGAACTACTGATTAATGATGAGGAAGAACTGCTGGGTAATGCTGAAGAAGAACTGCTGGTTAGTGATGGGGAAGAACTACTGGTTAGAGATTTGAAAGAATTACTGGTTCGTGATGTGGAAAAACTACTGGTTACTGATGAGGAAGATTTTCTGGCTATTGGTGAGGAAGAACTACTGATTAGTGATGAGGAAGAATTGCTGGTTACTGTTGAGGAAGAACTCCTGGTTACTGATGAGGAAGAACTACTGTTTAATGATGAGGCGGAACTATTGGTTAATGATGAGGAAGAACTGTTGGTTACTGGAGAGGGGGAACTGCAGGTTAATGATGAGGAAGAACTGCTGGTTAATGATGAAGATGAACTACTGGTTAGAGATGGGGAAGAGTTATTGTTTAATGATGAGGAAGAACTCCTGGTTACTATTAACGAAGAACTGCTTGTTACTGATGAGGGAGAACTGCTAGTTAGGAATGGGGAAGAACTACTGGTGAGTGATGAAGAAGAATTACTGGTTACTGCTGACGAAGAACTGCTGGTTTCTGATAAGGAAGAACTGCTGGTTTTTGATAAGGAAGAACTGCTGGTTACTGATGAGGAAGAATTGCTGGTTACTGATGAGGAAGAACTACTAGCTAGTGATGAAGATATACTGGATACTGATAGGGAAGAACTGCTCTTTAGAGACTTGGAGGAACTTCTGGATTGTGATGGGGAGGAAATGCTGCATACTGATGAGGAAGAAATACTAGTTACTAATGAGGAAGAACTGCTTGTCACTGACGAGGAAGATATAATGGTTACAGATGAGCAGGAACTACTGGTTAATGATGAGAATGAACTACTTGTTAGAGATGGGGAAGAACTACTGGCTAGATATTGGGAAGAACTACTTGTAAGTGATGAGTAAGAACTACTGGTTAGTGACGAGGAGGAATATTTGGTTAGTGATGAAGAAGAACTTCTGGTTACCGATGAGGAAGAACTTCCGATTAATAATGAGGAAGAGTTACTGGTTAATGATGAGGAAGAACTGCTGGTTTCTGAAAAGGAAGAACTGCTGGTTCCTGATGAGGAATAGTTGCTGGTTACTGATGAGGAAGAACTGCTTGTTAGAGATGGTGAAGAACTACTTGTTAGTGATGAGTAACAACTACTGGTTACTATTGGGGAAGAACTACTGGTTACTGATGAGGAAGAACTATTGGTTAGTGGTGAAGAAGTACTGGTTAATGATGAGGAAGAACTACTGGTTAATGATGAGGAATAACTACTGGCTAGCGATGAGGAAGAATTACTGGTTACTGATGAGGAAGAACGGCTTGTCACTGATGAGGACGAACTTCTGGTTACTGATGAGTAATAACTACTGATTACTGATGAGGAAGAGTTACTGCTTAATGATGAGGAAGGACTGCTGGTTTCTAATAAGGAAGGACTACTGCTTGCTGATGAGGAAGAATTGGTGGTTACTGAAGAGGACGAACTGATTGTTAGAGATGGGGAAGAACTACTGGTTAGTGATGAGTAAGAACTACTGCTAGGTATTGAGGAAGAACTACTGGTTACTGATGAGGAAGAACTACTGGTTAGTGGTGAAGAACTACTTGTTAGCGATGAGGAAGAACTACTGGTTAATAATGTGGAATAACTACTGGTAAGTGAAAGGGAATAACTACTGTTTAGTGTTGAGTAAGATCTTCTGCGAGAGGAGTAAGAACTGCTTGTTAGTGATGAGTTTGAACTACTGCTTACTGATGAGGGAGAACTACTAGTTACTGATGAGTAGGAAAGGCTGGTTTCTGATGGCTTAGAACTACTTTTCTCTGATGGCAACGAACTACTAGTTGCAGATGTAGAAGAACTACTACTTATTGATGAGGAAGAACTACTGCTTAGTGATGAAGAAGATCCATTGGTTAGTGATGAGGAAGAACTACTGATTAGTAATTTGGAAGTACTACTGGCTTGTGATGTGGAAGAACTCCTGGTTACTGATGAGGAAGATCTACTGGTTAGTGGTGAGGAAGAACTACTGGTTAGTGATGAGGGAGAAATAACGGTTAATGAGGAGGAACTACGGGTTAGTGATGAGGAAGAACTACTGGTTACTAATGACGAATAATTACTGGTTGCTGATGAAGAAGAACTGCTGGTTACTGCTGAGGAGAAACTACTGGTTAATGATGAGGAAGAACTACAGGTTAATGACGAAGAACTACTGGATAAAGATGGGGAAGAACTAATGGTTAGATATGCGGAAGAACTACTTTTTTGTGATGAGTAAAAGCTACTGGTTAGTGATGAGAAAGAATTACTAGTTGCTGATGAGGAAGAACGACTGGTTATTGTTGAGAAAGAACTACTTTTCTCTGATTGCAAAGAACTACTGCTTGCAGATGGAGAAGAACTACTGCTTATTGATGAGGAAGAATTACTGCTTATTGATGAAGAACTACTGGTTAGTGATGGGGAAGAAATACTGGTTAGTGATTTGGAAGAACTAATGATTCGAGATGTTGCAGAACTACTGGTTACTGATGAGGAAGATCTACTGCTTAGAGAGGAGGAAGAACTACTGGTTAGTGATGAGGAAGAACTACTGGATGCTGGTGAGTAAGTACTACTGGTTACTGAGGAGGAAGAATTACTGGTTGCTGAAGAAGAATAACTACTCGATACTGATGAGAAAGGACTGCTGCTAAGTAAATGGGAAGAATAACTGGTTACTGATGAGGAAGAATTTTTTGTTACTGATGAGGAAGATGTGCTCTTTACTGATGACGAAGAACTAAAGGTTACCGATGAGGAGGAACTACTTATTAATGATGAGGAAGAACTGCTGGGTAATGCTGAAGAAGAACTACTGGTTAGTGATGGGGAAGAACTACTTGTTAGAGATTTGAAAGAACTACTGGTTCGTGATGTGGAAGAACTACTGGTTACTGATGAGGAAGACCTACTGGTTATTGATGAGGAAGAACTACTGATTAGTGATGAGGAAGAATTGCTGGTTACTGGTGAGGAAGAACTACTGGTTAATGATGAGGGGGAACTATTGGTTAATGATGAGGAAGAACTGTTGGTTACTGGTGAGGGGAAACTGCTGGTTATTGATGAGGAAGAAATGCTGGATAATGATGAAGATTGACTACTGGTTAGAGATGGGGAAGAACTACTGGTGAGTGATGGAAAAGAATTACTGGTTACTGCTGACGAAGAACTGCTGGTTTCTGATAAGGAAGAACTGCTGGTTTTTGATAAGGAAGAACTGCTAGTTACTGATGAGGAAGAATTGCTGGTTACTGATGAGGAAGAACTACTAGTTAGTGATGAAGAAATACTGGATACTGATAGGGAAGAACTGCTCTTTAGAGACTTGGAGGAACTTCTGGATTTTGATGGGGAGGAAATGCGATACTGATGAGGAAGAAATACTAGTTACTGATAAAGGAAGAACTGCTTGTCACTGACGGGGAAGATAGATGGTTACAGATGAGCGGGAACTACGGTTAATGATGAAATAAACTATTTGTTAGAGTTTGGAAGAACTACTATTTAGATATTGGGAAGAACACTGGTTAGTGACGAGGAGGAATTTCTGGTTAGAGATGGGGAAGAACTTCTGGTTACCGATGGGGAAGAACTACCGATTAATAATGAGGAAGAGTTACTGGTTAAGATGAGGAAGAACTGCGGGGTTTCTGATAAGGAAGAACTGCTGGTTCCTGATAGCAAAGAGTTGCGGGTTTACTGATAGAAAGAACTGTTTGTTTAGAGATGAAGAACTACTGGTTAGGTGAGTATCCTACTGGTTACTATTGGGAAAGAACTACTGGGTACTGATGGGGAAGACTACTGGTTAGTGGTGAAGAAGTACGGGTTTTAATGATGAGAAAAAAACTACGGTTAATGATGGGGAATAACTACTGGCT